CCCACGCTTTCAACCAATTGGGCGTCTACAGCCCGTTGCTAATTGGCTGATCATTGCAAAGACACACACCACACCCTCGTCCCTGATTGGCGCTAAATTGGCGATATATAGCGTAAACAACATGCACATTCTGTCTTTCGCGTTTTGCTTCACCTGTTCCTGTGCAGACACTGGAGTAAGTACATATTATTGTTTTCCCCTTTTTACTTGAATATATCGATTCCATTCATGGTAACATAAGTTGTTCGTGTTCTTGTGAACAGGCCATGCTTGCTCGCGAGTTTTATGCACTCATTATGAGTGAGGAGAGTGCTGTCGTGATTGTATATTTATATATATGAAAATGAAATTCACATTGTTTCAGTTTAAGTGAACAGCAGTTTAGTCTGCTCTAATAGGTGTGGGTCACACGTCAAACTGAGGTGGGTCACAAACCCATGTGGGTCACACCTTAGACCATTACCCAAAGAGGCAAAGAGGCGTCTAGGATTTTCGAAGGGGGAGGGAACTGGAGTCGAGCGAGCGGGGGTCCGGGGCTCGTACTTTCCCTCCTCGTCCATGCCTCGGGGGGGATTAACAAGAAATTTCTGGACTGAAAGAGGGCAGACCAAAGTAGAAGATATAGAGTTTGCACTCCCCCTCTTGGAGTGAAATCGTCATGGAGGACGCAGGCGCACTGGCCACCTAGCGGAAAGGGTGGAGAACCACTGACCGTTCTATGTATCCTCAATTGAATATTGCTGTTTTCATATGATGAAGATTGGGATATTAGCAATAATATGCCTTATAATTCCTCAATATACTGTACACTTCTCAGTATATTGTGCTTACAGAGGTATCACTTCTGGAGGAACATGGAAAACTGCTTCAGTGATACGAACCACGCTGAAGTCCCACTTTTCTTGTGTGCTTGCAGATGAACAAGAAAATGAACATTTTGCCTCCAATGTATTGTCTCCTTTTGAAACGAAGGCATCCTCATGGTGCGTCCCTGCATCGCAAAAAAAAGGGAATTACCATGGTGCCAATCCCACTCAAACCAATCTAGGCGACGGGGGAAAAAAACCCGCGCTGGTGCCAAACCTGACTATGAATGGCTCATACAGAGGAGAGTTATGAGAACCAAAAAGGCTGCCTAATTGGCTCCAATGCCGCCCATCACCTTCCCCAGAAACCATCAGGTTACAAAATCGCACCAAGGTAATTTCTGAAGCCAAATATATACCTCTAGCTGCTGATTGCAAAGTAAGGACTTTGACTAAGTCAGACTGCAGGTGTAATAATATTGAGCCCTACGATTACTTGAATCATTAGGCGATTATTATTATTAGGCGAATGCCTAGTGGGGCAGTAGCCTGATTCCAACCAAGGCGCACAGATTGTAAAACGTTTTACTATCTGTGTTCAATTGAATCACCATACATAGGAACTCTATTTTCATGCACATTCAGTGATGAAATGCATGCAAGTTAGTGCACATTGACTCATCAGATCAGCTCCCACAAGATTTATTTTGATTCCGACACCTATTCATGCCTCTGTAATTGCAGATCACCTATAATAATAATAATAAAAACTCATCATCCACCATATTTTAATCGCTTTCAGTCATGCAGGCCATTAGGCCTCATCTCTCGGAATCCTTAGGGATGGTGAAGAATGATAATTGCGAATAGTTTTTCCTGTTTTTCGAACAATTTATTGCAACACACCCAGCCTCAGAACGAGACAAGGCTGAGCTTCTCCACTCTTTCCGCTAGAGCACGAGTGTCGCACGCACCAGCCATAGTGGTTTCACCTGCCAGCACGCAACCGCGAGGGAGTGCACGCTCTTATCTTCTACCTCTTTGGAGCAGACAGAGACGAAAGGAGAGCAGGGGGAAGGGGTGACTGTCACGATGGGGGGATGGGGTATGACCCAGAGGTTCTCAAACATTTTGGGTCCACGACTCCGTTTCACGGGGTCAAACGCTCGCGACCCCCAATTTTCAGGTTCCTAAAGCGAAAGAGCAAATCTAGTACAAACCATCTAAAGAAAAATGATTATTCAATTTCCCTGATTTCACTGTGACCCCTTCGCGACCCCCCTGTTAAGGTTCTTGTTGCGTCAGTCTTCAGTGAAATTTTCCCATTTGTGAAGAGAGCGAATAGTTGCTTCATCTTTACGTCTGCCGAAAAACGTCCGGCCGGAAAAGTGTAAATTCTCGCACCGTCCCATGAAGGCCTGGGCTACGAACGGAGAGATCCAATCGAGTGAAATGAGATCTCAAGGGGATTAAATGTTGTCAGAGATGAGAGGAGACTGGCCTCCGCTCATCTCTGATCATGGTGCCAGCCATGAAGTACGGTAAATTCAGACTTTGTCGTACTACTTCCTATATTTGTTGATATTTGGAACATCAAAAATAAAAAATACAAAAGAAAACGAAAAGGAAAGCAGACGCTCCAGAATTTGGCTTAATCAACGAGCGATTTTTAAACGAAACTCTCGTCTCCACATATATGGATATGAGTTTCACATATGCTTACTGTACTATATCTACCACCGTGCCAACTATCATCGTTCCATTTCTCATGGCTTCAGTGATTCTTTGTTGGATTCATTCAAAAGGAAACCAGTCTACCCATTGTTGCTTAGGTCTGGAAGCGAAAACGTGTTGCAACTCCACACTTGCGCGGTGCTAGAACGAGGACTGCACTAATTAATTATCGTAATTCGTGGGGCGATAATTTCACTAATACCACAGGCCTTTCCACATACTGCTCGACAAAATTATTGGAGCAATTCAACAGCGTCATGCGTCATTCCGGGGTTGAAAGAAGGGCGAGTGCTTTGTTTCCGCGCCCAATTTATTGTTCTTGGGAGCGGCTAGCCATCAACCGCAGCATTCACATTCTCATGTATTCTGTCGAAAGAAGCGATATATCGAATAAGCATTTCCCCCCCCCCCCCCCTCCCCCCGGTGAACAAACCGACATGAATAATGAATGGCCTAATACTACGTCAAGGGCAGTATTGTCGCTCGAGGGAATAATTGTGATCATGGTCAATGTGGATCGATGAACCCGAAGACATCCCGTCGTCCACAACGATGACGACGACGATGATGATGAGATGATCTCCCTTGGGAAATCGTCAAGATAATGTCAAACGTCGTTTCCCCTCGCAGATGAAAGCGGACGAGACCGTGAATGCACTGCCAGGCATGGATTGGGAGAAATTCCGAAATGCCAATAGGGTAGGTGTCATTCATTTTCTGTCGTCGTCAGACACGTGAAGAAAGGGAGCCATCAGGGTGCCCGCCCTTAAGTATGTTGATGAAATTATAATGAGTAAATAGCGTTGCCATGGTTTCGCAGTACACATGCTCGGGCCTCCACCCTGCCTCCCGATGCATGAATGCATGCACTGAACGCCCCTCTCACTTGTTTTTATTCCCCATGCACAATGCAGACCGTCGGGGAGGCTGCTCGAGAACCCTTCATCCAATCCAGGTCTGTTCTCTCCTCTCGTTCGATCATTATCTTTCGCACTCGATTTTCAAGAACGAGCGTTTCGGGAAAATCAAACTCAAGTAAAACGCAGTAAGTAATGGTCGAGAACTGTTCTTCGATTTGGAAGTATTAACATTGAAAGGCGAGAGCTGCACCTTGATACGTGAATACTTGCTAACATTTCATATTCTCATTCCTCCTTTGCATTTCCTCCCTTGCGTCTCGATTCATGAACACAAAATGCAGATTCCAGAGGTTTCACGGACCCCTTATTCTTTGTGACCATCCGGACGCACAGGTAGCTTACCCGGTTGAATCTACTATTGAATTCTCGATACGGTTCCGGCATGGAACCGATGTGGATCGCTCAAGTCTTTCAGCAAGACGTCGCGATTCTTCATCCTGAAAGATGTCGCATCGATCCAGGCGCTCTTTTGCATCGAGAGCTCTGGGTAATAATTGAATCCACAACGTCTTATTCTCGCGACCTTCATTAACACTTTGAGAGAATAACTTCAAATAGATAGGTTTCTCGGGAGCTTGTGTAATATGACTCGCTCTTCGACGCTTCATATACATTGTTTGCCATATCTCGTTTCCTACGACGACGACGAGCGAAGACTCTGCCCTTTTGGACGGTTTTTGCTCATTAAGGAAAAGACAGCTGCTGTCTTGGCTCTTCTCACGTCTAACGAAGGTAAAAAGGTGACAATCGCCTTTCGATCATCGATTGCCCTTCAAATGAGCGCGTTGCCTCGTTTGGCTTTATCGATCCGCCACCATCAGATCCATAACGACTGACGCCATCGACGTCTCAGCTTCTAAAACAGCAATGCCGAAGCTCCCCACTTTATCGAACGGTCAATTCGGATCGTGACGTGATCATGACCCACAGAAGCGTGTTTGCCTGACTCCTCTGCCCTAATTCTCAGGGTTACACGAGGGGATTTGATGGATTCCCAGAGCCGAGGGCGAGCCATGGTTACGGTGAAGATCACGAGGAAATGTCTTTATGAGGGCTGATACACACGGCATTGGCTCTCTGTTACCACATGCCCTTGCGTGCTCCGAATAACATCAGGAGGGAAAAGGGAGGGTTGACAAAGAAGGATTCTTTCTTCTCACGAGAGCAGCGATCTATTACGTCTGGATGAATGTGGCTCGCATGGCGCGTTTTGGGTCTGGAATGGGAGAAACCAGGATATCGAATATATTTACTCTGCACACGCTCACGCGCATGGCATACGTTCCTCTCGTAGGTTCATGCTCCGAAAGAGGAGTCCAAAAAAGGGAGAGAAGGAAAAATAAGCAGGAGGAATGAGAATGCTTCTGACTTGTATACACTGCCTCCACTTGTATAGCTGAGAGTTCTCTTCCTCTGGGTTCCCTCCTCTCGGTTCGCGATGATAAGGGACGCGAGGGTGCAAACGAACGTGCCAAAATACGACGAGACTGAGAGACAGCTGCTTGCAAGCATCGAGAGGGAGTTTCAAGTCTATTGATAGCGAAAGGGAAGCCTCGACCTCGACCCCTTCTCCCCTCCGATCGCGATGGAGAGCGAATCTGTGCACCGTGGCCTTTCCTACGTGGATTTCATCCCCGAACGCGTTGAAGAAGGCGGCTTCTTCTCCATGCCCAAATACGAAACCTTCAGGTGAGTCCCAACCCGCTCGGCAAGAGTGGAACCGTCTGGATCCCTCACCCTCCGAATCCTCCAGCGTCCTGATGGAAAGAGGCAACGATTGGCTGGCGAGGAATCCCAGCTGGGAGACTGTCACGTGCGAGAGCATGGAGTTCAAAACCACAGATCGGGTCCAGTCCGAGAGGATGACGTACTACGAACCGGGGGAGAGACGCACTGCTTATGTCAGGTACGACTGAGAAAGGCTATTCCATAAATCCTGGATCAAGACCTTAAGAATTTACATAATTTCATGAATTAGCCTTCGGCAATTCGTAAATTAAATAATTTTTTAAATATTAATTTTGGACTTTATTCTGCAATAGTAATTCTTTCCAAGTAGAAAATACCATGCTCTGTGCCTACTTAAGTTAAGTATCTTTTCCTTTCGTTGCTCGTCGTCCGCAAAGACGGATAATTGAGTATCATGGAAGCGCTAAATGATGATGGCTTTCAAATACATTCATTTTACCGTCATTGCAGCAGAAGACAAGTCACAATCCGGAGAAAAATAATGGACCATACCAGCAAGAAAGTGCTCAGGAAACGGACAGTTTTTCTATGAATGCAATAAAATAATTAAGGTCTGTATCTATGACAGGACTATCTTATATGACTGAATATCGAATATGAACATGAATAATGATTATAAGAAGCTGTCAGAGCGATGCTCTTGCCTCGATTGGCTTTGGAAAGAACACGCGAGGTCGATAAAACGTTGCTGAAAAGAGCGTTATATCGAGCCGTGACGTGAATGAGGTCGTCATGGAGAGACCTTCTCCTGCGTCACCATGTCTCATATGTCTCATAGTGTCAACATTTAATTAAAGTCGATAGGATGAGACCACTCCAGCTTCCTTGCCAATTTATCTTGCTTCTCGGTCGAGTTTCGCACTTTTTCTTTCCATTCCGACAGGTTGTTAATTTGGCGAAATCGTTGTTGACATCTGAAGGAACTGAGCCTGGCGGTGTCAACTGCAAAAATGCGAAACTCAATCGCAAAACGCCGTTGCTCTCATTATTACTAGACTAGTCTCATCGGATTCCGAGTGATTTAATGCATTTTCGAGTAGATGTAGTCCTAGCACTCCTTCACGAACTATATTTTTCTCGTAACCATCCATAAGTGTACGATCACCTTCCGAAAACATACCTCTTCAAAATTCGTGGTAATGTTGAATGCGAGATTGCGAGATAGGCAGATGGTAGACTGAACCCATTAATAGGTGTCGTAGGGAAGCTCAATGGATGATCGTTTGTTCTTCCAAAAGCCAATCGAGGCAAGAGCATCGCTCTGACAGCTTCTTATAATCATTAAGTTTGGAACCCTATTTAGAAGTGCACCCGATAAAAACAGTATTGATCTTGGAATATGTAGTTTTTATATTATGCAAATGCTCAACTAATGCCGACTGATATACTGGGGGGGGGGGGGGGGGGGGGGGGCGTTTTTAATATTGAAAAATGTTGATCCTCTTATTAAGACGTGTAGCGGAAGCTGCGTTTCATGAATAAAGATGTAACACCTTCAGCCGAGGGACTTGAAACGCGTGAGCTTTCCCATTACGCAAATAGGGGCCTTAATGTGATGAAAATTTCGCGACGATGCGACTACGAGTCTCCAAAGAAACAGAATGCATTGCAACGAGTGAAACTTTTCAAGGAAATAAATCCAGTTATTACGGACGTTTAGACGCAATGTGTACTCTGCAACGGATGCGTTCAGGTAAATGTGCCGCGTCGAGGAAACAGAAATGCTAGCTCGTCCATGCATAGCCAGGGATGGGGATGGGGAGGGGGGGGGGGGGGCAGGTTCATTAATATGTGGAAGTTGAAGCACATTCATTCCGAGCGACCTCATCCTAATCGCAAATCAATATACGACCTCTAACCTCTATGACCTCTATGCGAAACAATAGGACGCCAAAACTCACATCTTGTACATTTATTTCCAAGCCAGATCGCCACGAACTTTTTTGACGACATCGCGAAGTGACATGACTCTACATCCACCTCCAATGCCATTGGTCCTTCTTGCTGTCTTTCTGCTTTTCTTCCCCCTTTCCCTCTCCCCCCCTCCCCTTCCCCCGTCGAAACGGTGGACTCCGAACGAGCTTCACTTAATCCTCCTTTCATATCTGAAATGCTCCCGGAAGTCTTGGAGCAAGTTTTCCTTTTCCCAGTGGTAAATACACGGGATTCTTGTGGGGAAGGGAAAATAATCTAGTGTGGAGCATCGCGCTTCCTCACAAAATGCTTCGGGGCTGGCGATGAAGTGAGAAGGCGAAATAGCGCGAAATTACCCTTTAGATCCCGTCGAGAATGACGAATTAACTTCATTTTCTGTTAATTCTTTCGCATTTCGGTAGATGTATCTGCTGTCTTTATCGTGGGACACCTTGTCTTACCTATATAAATTCTATCTCCCTGTGTGGCCGCTCTCCGTCGCAGTGGGAAAGTGCTCATGCCTCACGTCAGGTGGCAAAATGAGAATGAGGGCAAGAGGGAAGTTTCCAAGAAAGATTCCATTCCCCCCCCCCCCCCTCTCCCAAATTCTTGGACTAAGGCAAGCAACATTAAGCTATCGTAGCTTGCGAATCCCGAGCTGATGGCTCGAGAAGTGGCTTTTGCGTATTGCGCACAGAGTGTCCTGATAGCACGTTCCATTGTAGGACAATCATGTAGATAACCCAGGTCGTCGAGTGGCGTATCTGGAACGTGAAAAAAGCTTTCCACGCCTTGCCCCGACTTCAGAGAGGCGACATTTGATGACGCACACGGTTCATCACTCACCCGCCCCTCCCACGACTAGACAGACCATTCGGGACCGATTCCTTTTTTCTTTGGACCTTTCCGAGAAATGTGAAACGAGCTTACCTAGGCTTGCAATGGCTTTCCACGAGCTTGATGATTGTGTGCACCTCTAATAGTTTAAATAAATGGCGAGGTACATAACGGGAAGTTTTCTCTTTCAAGACATCCGAGAGAGAAGCTGTTACAATTTCTGGCGAGCTCTTTAGTCTTTAATTAATATGCTGCCGAGATGTAGGAAGCCCCCATCGAGGAATACGTAAAGGAATCCTACATTCAGTAGTATTCGTTTTCCTCCTTCTCGTTAATGGGTGAAAAGTAATAAAGACGTTCTTGCATTTTCCCTAGCCGTTTCCTGCGTATCAACCAGGGATTTTCCTCGATGTATCCTCGCAGGTGTTTGAGGCTATGGTTGAGGCGACGGAAGGACTCGAACGCAGCGCCGCAACAGCTGCATTACGTCAATTGTGTCCCCGATCTCATGGACGAGAAGATGTTTGGGGGTCCCAAGTTCCAGCCTCTCAACAGCATGATCGACAAGATGAACGAGATGTTGCAGAAGAACCCCCTCCCGGGCAAGATCATCACCATCGAAACACAGGTCGATCTCCCGATTGTTGCGCGTCTCATGATGACGTCACTTCCGTCGTCGTCGTGCGTTGTATCTCCTAAAAGGATTGCCTTTCGGCGGAAAGCGTTTCACGTCCATCCTCAGGAAGGTTTGTGCGAAGGAATCAGCGGCGCTAACCGATGGCGATATAATCCAACGAAATTGCTAATTTCCAAACTTCATATAAACCAGAACTAATGCTACTTTTTTGAGAAGGTAATTTAACTATACTACTCGCGTACTCAGAAATTAATTCTAATGAGGCTGTTGAACTAATTACCTCGTGAATAGGGCAGGGCTGTTAAAAATATCGGGCTTTCGTATACTATTAAACAGGAGATGAAAGTGGGGACGTATTCCGGTCGACTGGATCCTGATCGATCTTACTGGATCGAACACGGAGACGCCCAGAGGCTCTTTGTATTCGTCATTCGGATATTCTTCGAGGTCGGATCAACTGAGCCTGGAATCGGGGACCGACAAGAAATCGGACTCGCTGATTTCAGCCCTTTGTGTGAGGGATCCGGCGGCATGTTCAGGTATCTTAAACGCTTCCCGAATGTAGTCTTCTTCCTTCAGAGAGAGATTCCGTTCGATTCTGTCCGATTGAACACCCCAGTCATCCCAAGTTCGAGCAGTTCAGCAGCCTGGTCGAGAGGATGACGGCCTGGTGCCAGAGTCAAAGCAGCATCCGAATATCCAACGTCCAAAGTCTGGAATACAAACTCAAGTCCGGCCAATTGGATACCCAGAGGACCTCCTACACCGAGCATGGGAATGCCACGACGTACTACGTCCGGATCCTCCGTGTGGCATACGTCCGAGCTGGAGAAGCCCGTCTCCATCCCTACATTGTCACCTGTCGCACTTTTTCTCCTGCACAACTCGATCGAGGTATTGCGTGACGGTGACCACAATGATGGGTTCCTCTGTGGGTTCCATACTTTGCTTCCCCGGTCCCAGGGAAAAAAGCAAAGATATCACGTTTCTTGCTTACCTTGAGCTCTATCACCAATTGTTCCAGTAAAAGTTATAATGCCTTATTTTTTTAAAATGGCTTTTTGAAGTTAGAAAACTACTTCTACTCGGAGAAGTAGAATTCCACTATGTATGCTTTCTTAAATATAGATTTCCAATTATCCAGTACTCTTGAGAATCAATTGCTCGCGGGACTTTCGGACATAGAATTTAACCCTTTCACTGGCAAATGGAAATTTACATCTCCAACCTATCCTGGAGGCCTCATTGGAGGAGGCATTGGCTACTGCTGGGCGTCTCATGCGTCATGAGACGCCAATGCCAATGAAAGGGTTAAGAACTTTCTTAAAACTATTTTGCAGCAAAATATACAGAGCGTTCAAGTGTTAAAATAACAAAGGTCACGTCTTCTTGAATTGCTTCCATGACTCCTATATTTACTCTACAGGAGGGATGTTTGCAGTGCCAGAATATGAGAGCATGTCTCAGACAAGGGACCGAATTGCAGCATGGGTGGGGGTTACTGGAGCTAGACTGATCAGTGCAGAAACCTCCGCTATACGAATGTTCACTGGTTTGTATGTTCACAGCTTTCAACCTGTTTTTTTTTTTTGCTCTCTCGTTACGTCTAAGCAAAAGCATGACTTAGCTCCGGGGGAGACTGATTGCACTATTTTGGATGGATGGACGAGTTGAAATATGGGTTTATATTGAATTAATTATAGGAAAATATGCATTGGGAAATGGAATTTAGTCGAGCAAATTGGCAATACGGACTCCTGTCATCTCGTTACATTCTATTTTCATTACTACACCTTGCTAACGAGTGTACTCATTCTTGGATAAGCTTATGTTCATCTTTCCAAAAACTGCTGTCAATCCCTTCAAATGTTCCTTCTATTTTGGGAGCCCAATTTGCTCCTTTGCATGCTCTTGATGACTTTACCAAACCTCAACATTTTCCTCTTACATAAAAATATATAAGAATGTTACGCAAGTTTCACTGTCAAATTCATGTAAACTGCTCATCCTTTGTTGAGGTCAAGAAGAGCTTCTCACTATTTCAAAGGGCAACAGCATTTGAACACTGTCCAACATTGCCTTCCATGGTACTTTCTTAAAATCACACCAAAACTCATTCTTCTTCAAATCCATGATGAGAGTTCTACTGGATTAGGGTTTCTCCAGCATGCCCCTGGAAGAATTCAGAATTGAAAAATGTTGTCTACGAATAGGATGACTAATATTGATCTTTGGAGATATGGTAAGATATTTGGGATTGGGAAAATGGGCATTTCAGGTGGAGAAAGAGAGATGGGACCTGAAGCGACGTACACCTTCAACCGAGGAGATGCCAATGAATACTGGATCTATATCATCCGACTTTATCTTGATGGGGAATACAAGGAGCCACCTCAGGAGCTCTTACCACCCATTCCCCAGATCCAAGAAGACTCCTGCTGCAACATACTTTGAATCTCTTTCCCTCTCACTGCATGTATGAGAGGCCTGCATGTGCTATGATATGCAATGCACCTTACACCTATCCCATGACTTGAAAGAGCCTTTCAATGCACATTCAAGTGGTGCAGAATTTACAAAAGGGTGTAGCCTTACTATCATTTTTATCATATCAGTTGCATATCTGGATAAAATTTCTGTGACTGACTGCAATGGAAGGTTTGCCTGAAATACAAACTTGAAAATGTGTAGTGATTCAATATTTGCCAAGCCAGATAAGGTTTTCTTGGTGACCAACTCTCAGGCAGCCTGAAACTCAGTGAGTACCCCACCTGTTACTATAACTGATACTCAGTCTGCACTCTGCAGTGAATAGAGTATGGTTGTAACAGGCCAACAAAAGGTGATGGGGTTTGCAATTTCAGATATATTTATTTAACTCATCTCAATTTGACAGCTAGGTAAGCAGATAGGTTAAGGAGTAAGCTGCAGGAATTTCAGGCATTGACATATATTTCCTATTTAGTCCTTGAGTTGAAATAAAAACAGTCCTGGAAGTATGTTTACTATGGATATCAAGGAGCAAAAGGAACAATTACAGAAATCTTATATTGATAATAAATTAATAGCAATAAAGGTTTAAAAAATGTATTACAATATTGCTTCATTGCAAATCTTGTAGCCCCATGGTTCAGTAGGACTAAAACGTTATCGTTGCTTCATGACCTAAAAGACACTAGCATATGCAGGTAGATAAGCAAGGAAAATGCTTAAAATATACTGAGAAATAACATGATTTAGACCTTTCTAATGTGATTCCCAGATGAATTTATGCTTTTGGGCATTAAGATACCATGTAAATGTATGCAATGGAGTCTTATCAATACCATCTTACTGTGGAGAATGAGCTTATGCTTATATCAGTGAAACAAGTGGGTCAATAGATAAAAATTAGGTATAATGAAAGTAAAATGCAAATGTAAAAAATACAGAAAAATATGAACTAATAATAGAAAAGCACAACTGAAGAGCAAAATATGGAGACATATTCACCAATTATGGGAATCTCTCCACTTGCAGCACAAACATTCCAGATTCAATATCCAACTGTTCTAGCTATTTGAGTTTTTGGTGAAGGGTTAGGACTATCAACATGAATCTTAGTCAGAAAGGAATATGCTTTCTTCTGCAGATAACAGGACTGATGCTTGGGAACTAAACACTTCATGAGCTTAGAGACAAGTGAAGGATTTGAGCTTTGACGCATAAAACATAGCACCACTATTGGCAATACTTACTGATCTTTGAAGGAACAGCAGTATTCTGATTTAAAAACATTTAAAAACGTATACCAGGAGGTTCATTTTTCCATAACTCCATGAGTGTATAATGACCACAGAGAGAGAGAGAGAGAGAGGGAAAAAAAAGGACTCCTCAGATGTTTCCTTGTTTAACCCTTTCCATGCTATGGATGAGTATACTCGTCAGGTTACCCAATAGAGCTACAAAACTCAGCATTGAAAGGGTAAGGGGGACCTTCAAGAGCCATGAAGAAAATGTAAATATCCTTCAGTGAAAGAATCAAAGGCAGAACCTCTGCTATAATCTGTTATTATTAGATTTAATTCAATAGAGTGTTCTAATTAAAATGACAATAATATAAAAGCTTCAAGGAGATCCACAACTTGGCAATTTATCACAGTTATTATGTTACATAAACATCCAGGTTTCATCAGAATCTTGAAGCATCATATACTTTTTCACACAAAGTGGTAAATCAGAAGACCTGATTATTTCATGTACCCTAGTACCATATACTCTCCGTAGCACTATTCGACACAGTTGAACCAATTGCAGTGGATTTGTTTTACAGTAAACAAGCAAGCCCTTAAGGCTTTTGGGAGTGTAGGAATGGGGAATAGTGCAAGGAAGAACCTCTAGCCAGGCAGATTTGTGTCTCACATCATAGCCAGCATCTATCAGCAGCTTGCCCATTGGGAGGTTATCATACTGCCTCATCAACCACATGAGATCTTGTCCTCTTAGTAGAGCATTGACATCACTTCCCAGCTGAATGAGCCAATGCATGGCTTTCCAATGCTTCAGAAGGGCAGCATGATACAAAAGCTTTGCATCCAGGTCTGCACCATGAGAGAAAAGCAAAAATGCAGGCTCTGCAAACATATGTTGTCTGTCTGGTTCCACAGTGACACAGATCAGGGCATGTAGAGGTAACTGACTTGACAAATTTTCACAAAGATTTGGATTAGCACCATGTTGGAGAAGGATGGCAATAATACACGAATGATTCCATGCTCTCTGTGAGCATGCAACATATAGTGGTGTTTGTCCTGAGACATTCAGTCCATCCACAAGTGCACCATGCTTTAAAAGCAGTTGAGCTATATCAGTGCAGTTATTAGCAACTGCTGAATGGAGAAGGCAGTGTGACTGCAATTGATCTGCCCCAGCTTCTAGCAAATGAGATACACCATCAGCATAATGGTTCCACACAGCTTCACAGAGGGGAGTATAGCCTCTGACATCATCCAGATTGACATTAGCTCCTGCAGAAATGAGGGTCTTCATGACACCAGTGCAAGCATTTGAAGCTGCTAGGAAGAGTGGTGTCCTATCATTAATATCTGGAGCATTCAATACAGCACCATGACTCAACAGCAAATGTACAATGTCTACAAATCCTCTTTGAGCTGCATAATGAAGAGGAGTGCATTTCTCAACTGTTTTAACATTGACACTAGCACCACTCTCAAGAAGTTTCAGAGTCAAATCAACACTCCCTTTTATACAACTATAATGCAGTGGTGTTGCATCATTCGAATCATGGGCATTCACATCTGCTCCAGCAGAAACAAGCAACTCAGCAATGTCACACGTCTGTTGAGCTGCAAGATGCAATGCTGTCCTTCCTCTACCATCTTTTTTATTTACATCACAGTGAATGAGATGACACATTTGGTCCAAGTCTGATTTTGGTTTCCCAGTTTTACCTATCTCATTCCATCTCTTTTGAAAGATCACCATACTAGAATCCATGCATGTAGATTCACTAGAGTTTGAACTTGCAGTCATAGGACTTACTGGATCTCTCCCAAGTTGAGTTTTTGGTAGGCCCACAGAAAAAGAGGTGTCTGCCAGCAAAGGACTTTCCTCATCCTTCCCTTCCTGAAAGAGTATCCTCTTTCCCATGTCCAAATTAAGGAATAGTGAAACCAAGGTTTTCTGCCTGTGTTGGCAAGCTAGTCCTAGAGGTGTCATGCCATCCCCTGACAGGATGACAGATGCATCACCCCTACAGTGTTTATGAAGAATGTCCAGAATGGCACGCACTGACGTTGGGCTTCTGATTTCTTCGCGGAGCTCCTCTTCCCAATATTGAGATGCAGCATCGGAAACTCCTGGACCAGAATTCATTTTCCACATTAAGTCGATTACTTAGTCTCCAAAAGAATCTTTTAAAAATTTCTGGCACAGAATGTAATGCACCAGACTTCCAGAAAGGATTTAATAAGTCACAACTGGATCCTCGTGAAGCAGAACACATCCAATCACGTGTTCCTCATGATGACTGAGTGGCGCCATCATCGATTCCACGGCCATGGACAGTGTTGCCGTACAAAACAACTTTAAATCAAGCCATTCGCGACTCACTCAAAAGTAGCAACGACACCTACTCCATTGCATAAACAAGAAAACTCATGTCTCAAGTAAACGAAAGCAATAACATCAAGTTGAATTTTAAAATGTAGAAGCTCATAAACAGAAAGCAAATTAATTCACGAAGAAAATACGTTTTTAGGTTATCTGTAACGACGGTCCTCAATATCTATACCCAGAATGAAGTATAAAACAAGTATAAAAGCTTCACATTCAATCATATTTTGTCTTGAGGTCAAAACTTCAATGTAACCTTGCGACAGAGGAATGGGATGGACGATTACAAGAAGTAAGTTTGGCATCCATGGTATCCCGGGGCGTTGCCGCAAGCTCTGGTGAGAGGAAAAGTGAGATGAAAGTGAAACCACGAGTCAGGACCCTGGTTGCTACGTGCACGTGGTCAGTCGTCGGCGCCAGCTGAGGCAGGAGGCCCCACCCAGTGTTGCGGCGTGCACTTCAATTTATCGATGTTTTTGTCCCAAGGCCATCACGCGCTTCCTGCTGGGCCCACTTTCTCTTCGTTTCCTGTCACGTCGGTCTTTCAGGCCTCTGATAGCCTTATCACATCCCATGATAATAAGCCTGCCTACACTCGTAGGCATAGACCTTCGGTAGAGCTAACACGAACCTAAGGCGTAAGCTTAGCGTTAATATAGGCCTACCCTTAAGTTCTGATGTAAACTTGGTTCATATTGGTATAGGCTAAGTGTTCATTCCTAGCAGCTTAGCCTATTGTCATGAATGTCATTCGTGTAACACCAGTCTTGTGTCTTATAGGTAGGCTCAAACTGAGGCCAAGGCCAACATTTGACGGTGAGAGGGAGGCCTGGAATGGGTTCACATGACCTCAAAGAGAAGCTGAAAAAACTTGGGCAGGACCATGTCTTAAAGTACTATGACACCTTGACAGAAGATCAGAGGAAGGACCTGGAGCATCAAGTGTTGAGGTATGCTTAGACCCAAGAGCAGAATCATAACTGATGTATGCAAATTGTAGGTCTTTGATAGCTTAGGCTTAAGTTGATATGCTTCAGAAAATCTGCCTCCTCCCCATGCTTTCAGTTGGTGTAGTCCTTATAGTAGTCCCTAAACATGGATGACCAAGTCATTTCTTGTTCTCTGTTTCATTCCTTTTTGCCACAAGGTCCCTTTGAAGTTTTGACAAGCCAAAAATGATTTCCTCCAAATGATTGTTATCCCTTGTCATGGGGTATTTCATTTGATGCCTTGTTACAGACAGCTTCCATTGAGACAAGTCTTGTATTTTGCCATCCTTGCCAGAAGAGATGACATCCATTCAGTTGGAATCAGTTCAGATTTATTTGGCATGTATTGTAAATCAAATTGAACGACAGGTTTAGTTGGGAATAATACAGAGAAAAAATAAAGAAGAAAGAGGTGGCAAGGAGATGGAAAGAATACAGAAAAATTTAAGGAATTGTTTTGAAGGGGCAGAAGGAGAGCATGGTTTAAAATGTATGACTGTTCTTTCTATTCTTTGCTGCAGAATGTGAGAAATCTTCTCTGACATGAAGTGTATGGAAATGAAGGAAAAATCATCTCAAAGCCTCATCACTGAACAGTTGGACAATAATTTCTATTGAGGGTTTTATCGGATGACATTTAATATTGGGTTACTGTGTCTGCACCATAGGGAAATTGTGATATTGGGTTGTTTTTTTTTTCATTTGTTTGGAGCATTATCATGAGGGATTTGAGTTGTGCTCATGACATTGCTTCCAGTAACTTCATTAATATGGTTGTCTTTTTTATATCCTCATGGCAGAATACAGCTCCTATTGGGGGCAGGAGGCTACACCAGTGGTAAATCAGTGAGCAGTCAATTGAGTGGTCGATTGGTGTAGAAAATGTCCTGGCTAGAGTCATGAGATAGGAAGTACAGGATGTCTCAAAAAAAGTTAATGCTGGAATTATGGATTTTTCTTGTATCACATTGGACTTGAATAGCAAATGTCAGTTTAAAAGGGAAGAGGTTAAGCTATTTTCTGCTGGAAATCTCCTGAAAATATGGGGTGGTGCAAAAAAAACCACCCACACTAGTTTTGACAATCTCCCAATAGTCTAGCTCTTGTAGCTCGTGAATGATTTATATATAAAATAAAAGGCAAATGTAACCACTTTTCAGCCATGTAAGTATTATGCATGTATCTTGCTTAGGTTTTTAGAAACTCAACATCTATCTATCTATCTAAGTGGGGCATAATCTGGTGCTGCAAGAATGTTATGAAATAAAATGCTTTGTTTTTTTTTTTACAAATGGGACTATTTCATTCTTAGCAACCTAATCAAAATTAGAACCAATATTTTATGTTAATTTTAAAATTAAGAATGACTTACCAATTCAAACAAATGATGGATAGGGCCTAACAAGTATTGATTTAAAAAAATTTTTACACCACCCTATTGATTCTTTTGTAAGTGAGATATGAAACTGAAAATTTGACTTGAAGAAATTTTGCACACCCTTGCCAAAATGCATTTTCAATTTTTTCTTCTTGACACCAGCACACCTTCAGATGTCTAGCAAGATTTTTTATTGCTGACTGAGCAGTTCCTAGTCTGATTTTTAGAGATTTAGAGAGATTATTCCATTCAATGATTACTGCAGATTTTTTGCTAATGCAGTAAATTGCAGTAAGTAAATGCCTAAGTAAAATGCAGTAAGTAAATGCCTAAGAACCAGAATAAAATGAGTCCCACACTCCAGCAGTACACTTGTGGATCACTAACTTCAAGTGCTTGCATTACTGCATACTCTTATATAGTCTGCTTGCTGTGGTTAACTGACATGCCTGCATTTTGCTATTGGCAACTTTGTCTCTCCATATCTCACTTCTGAGATCATTGATCTTCAGCATTGGAAAGCTTTATCTCTTCTCATTTTAACTGCCATAGAAATTTTCCTTCAGATTTAGATACAAGATATATACATTCTTGCAGCATTAAGAAGGTAGCAGGCATGTTGTATGTACTTGATTTCATCCTAGAAGGCTTCCCCACAACTTGAAATATTGGCTGTGATAGACCTTCAATGGGCCCACTATTTTTTAAAAATTTATTTGGGCTATTTGTTTGACGCATTTAGTCTTTTTATATGTTCTCCTTTTCATATTTGAACTCTTATGCTACCCATTTGAATTTGCTTAAGTTTGCCAGGCCTTTGCTTTTGGTTTATAGCATGTTCATTCTCCTTTAAGTGCATGAGTATGGGGGAGACTTTTGATGAATTGTCCTGCTCCTGGTATCAGTACCCACTTTCAGTTAGAATAAATTATCAGATCCAACATTATTTATTTAGTTATCTTGGTGCATATAATAATCTCCATGGTGATAATCTGCTTTTTCCTTCCTCTTCACTTCTTCTGGATCTTAATCTGCCCTCCTCTGCTGAGTCTATTTGATGTCATCCCCTGATGCAGGTTGAAGTGGTCCAAATAGATAAGGACTCTGAAGTGCTCAATGTTTATTGATGTGATAAGTTTTCTTTTGCATCCTTTATCAGCTCATAGGTTTACATCAGTACTGGTACTGAGTCATACTGAGAAGACCATCCCCACCTATGGCCTACAGGGACTTTGAAGTGTTGGCTTGCTGGCTATTGGATTTAATAGGGTTTTGAAACATCCTTCTCAAAGAGCATTTAACTTTCATTGGACTGTTGAAGGTATGAGGGAAGGGATGTTTTTTCTCACAAAGAATATGTATAAAAAAGACACTTGAAGGATGCCCATCACCCTGATATATTTTTCTATTTTCCAGTGCTGATTCATTATCAACAATCCTGTTAGAAAGATACATACATTACATGTACAAAGAATTATTGAATGGTATTATGTACACATGAAAATTAAAACTGTCATTATGGAAATTCAAAGCAAAGATGCTTCGACCTGAACTATAAATAGTGTATCAATGCACCTGGTGGAGGGGTGGCAGAGGATTCAGTCTTTTCTCACTGCAATTGGGATGTGGACCTCTATCCGCCTTCTTTAATCTCATACTTGTGATAAAGGTGTGTGGGGGGAAAGTGTGACCTTTGCAACAAGTAATGAAGCCTGCCATGTCTCCAACTATCGAAAATAACTTCCATTCATATCAATGGATGCATCAAAACAGTCCAAATTTTTTACTATTACCCTTGATAGTCAGTAACCAAGTCTTGTTCATGTAGTTTTTTTTCTCATTGTTCTCATTCTTTGGACATTGGCACTGGCAGATTGCAAACCTGGCATGTCATACCAGCAGTTGCCAATACATTGGTACAGCCCAAGATTCAGGCAAAATTCTTGTAAAAAAAACTCTTTTCTATAGTCAGTCTCAGCATTTCCAGGATTTGATAGTGATAGGAAATTGTATGCCCCATGTGGGTCACACCACCTCTTCCTTTCTCTGCCTGGGTGAACTGTATTGTACCGTGCACACATCTCAGTCCAATGGGGCATTTCCCCTTCAAAGATTTTACTGTTACATTGTGATGGCCAAAAAGACTATCAATACTTCCAGCCATCCATAGTGGTCTCAATGCATCAACCTATTGTGACAACCCTAATGAATATATGGTATATACTGGTTCTATCATGGTATCTAGATGTTGCCTCATTGTATCAAAATATCTATGCATCATGTACCACCAATACCCCCTTTTATTTTATTCTTCCATACACAATATATTCCATGGATGTATAGATTCAGAAGTTCATATACATATCAACAATGCTGCATCAACTATGACAAAGTTTTGGTCTACATGATTCCACTTACATTTGAGAAGGTATAGATTTATAGATACATGTGTTTCCCAATGCTTGCTACTGTCAGTAATTGAATAATATATGATGTAGGTAACAATTGCGGGTCTTCCATACTCTCCCTTTGGACTACTACATGTTTCACATCGTTTTAACCTCTTATTGCATGGTGCTTCAGATATGGCACATATGGGAATATTTTAAATATAAAATTGCTAAAGAATTACAATGTGACAAATGTAGAATTTTTGAAACATCCTTGATGTTCCCAATTAGAACAAACATCAGTACCTTTTTAAACGTAAGTTTGTTACCAACTGGGACCATATTGAAGATACCATGTCAGTACTGTTGCTGAGTAAAGACTTTCTTGCCTTGTTTTGCTGCAAGTTTCTCAATTTTTTAACTATTATATTTCATGTATGGAAAATTATCATGCATTATCATTCATTTTACATCTTTGTCTGAGGTTCCATAAATTATAGTGATTGCAGTTTCTCTCTTCTTGAAAATTTCTTCCATTTTGACAAAAACCTATATTTGCATTAAAATGACCAAACTTGGACAATATGATGTAAAATATTTTACTTTTGTACCATTAGGAAAATTTATACAAAGTTTTAATTTTTTCTCCCAGGCTTTCATACATCATGCAGTAAGGGGTTAACCCCAGCTTAATTAAACATAAATATCTGAGGAACATATCATCTTAGGATTATAGTTGTACATAGTATGTGTCTCATTAGAATTTGTGGATACTTTAGAAATTTTAAATTTTTCTCATGGGATATAAAATACCCATGGGTTTCATCATTTAGGCATAGCATGCTTATCTCAAGAATTGTCCTTGCCACAGCTCAATAAAACTTTCTGCTGATACTTCTTTGCATCAATGGTTTTATGAGGAGTGCACAGTTATTGACAGTGAATTATTTTGGCAATCCTTCATGAACATAAATTCTGTTTCTGTAGGTGCCCTTATAACTATACTGGGTGGTGCAAAAAAAAAATTGTGCATGACACCTTATAAAATTTGCTGTGGATGATCTAGGTTCATTTTCTTATTACATTGGAAACACCACAAAATTTGTTTTATGAAAGTTTCATATACCTTAGTTGTCAGAATAAATATTGACAATTGCTCAAAGTGGAGTCATAAAATGGACCTTTCCACACATGAGGTGGATGGAGTTTCAGGACTGCTCGAATTATTTCTCTCCCTTGAGGTTATGAACACCGCTTTTTACGCTAGTTCTCACTGTAATATTCTGTGTGGTATTGATTCTGATGCTACGATGTACAACAGTAGTAGTATTCTACAATGTGTTGAATACTACAATGAGAACTGGCATAAGAAGTGGTATTTACACAGAAAGGTCCATTTTGTGACACTATTTTGGGTGACTGTTGATTCAGACAACTTAAGTACATGAAACTTTCAGAAAACAAATTTTGTGGTGTTTCCAATGTAATATGAAAATATCACAAACCTAGATCATCCACAACAGAATTTATAAGGTGTCAAACATGATGCGCTCAAAATTCTGCATACCACTAGGGAGATTCCAAATCCCTCCTTGATTCTGATTACTTCTTGTAACACTAGAATTGCTAATGCAAGTTTTATTCTCCTGTCATGGATCTCTGGGATATTTAAAAGGTCTAAACAAAACAAAAAGGAAAATCTTAAGAATTGGAACTTATGCCCCAGTTTTATTTTGTTATCTTGTTTATGCTTTATTTTTTGGAGATCTATATCTAAGAGATAAAACTTATCCAAGCATCACAAGTTTCATGAGATGTAATTTCATTTATTTGATTGTAAAAAAAAGTTCATCACTGGCACATGCTAGCTGAAAAAAGGAAACAAATGTGATCAAGTTACATTAATTTTAAAATGTTATGAGCCTGAAATGCCCCAAATAATTTTCCTACTTAGACTGGTTGGTGCATCTATGTGAGACATGCACATAAGCACATATGCCTATGTGCATGCCTCACATGCCAAAATAATGGAAGCAAATAGGCACATATGCCTATTTGCTTCCATTATTTTGTGGCACCAACATCCTTATGAAGTTTGGAAGTTCCCTCTTGTGCATTTTCTTTATTTTTTCATATTGACAGCTTGAATTTGGAGAAGGTAGTGGCAAAGTTTCATGCAACAAATTCACATGGAACAGCTCCAGATATTGAGAAGCGTATGAAACCCCTGAGCACAAGGATCCTCTCATCTGTCAACTCCACTGGGAAACCTCAGATTGAACTCTATCGACGCAGAGGTTGGAATCAATTTCACAGACTTTGTGATTGCTGCTAGAAGTGTTTTGTATGAAACCAATGGTGCCCATTTGTTTTTCAGGCCTAAGTGAGATAGCAGAGGGACATGTAGCTGTGTTACTGCTAGCTGGTGGGCAAGGAACTCGGCTGGGTGTTTCTTACCCAAAGGGGATGTATGATGTTGGCCTACCTTCAAAGAAGACCCTTTATCAAATCCAAGCTGAAAGGATTCGACGTCTTCAACTCATAGCTGAAAGGCAAACGGGAAGGAAGCCATCAATACCCTGGTACTCTATATATTCTCATTTTTCTTCAAATCAATATGTAATTTTTGACATTTTTAATATTGTTTATTGCGAGCCTACTCTCTATGCTGGAAAAAAAAAAAAGAAGAAAATGTTAAAGCTGGTTGTGTTTCAAACAGGGTAAGTCAGCTATATAGAGAATGGTACAAAAAATGACCAAAGACTTTCTACCTAAATATCTCTGCTCACAACAGAGCTTTTTTGCAAAACTTTCACTTTACAAATTAATATTAGATCTGCTTGGATTCATTCAATAGAATCAGTTTTTCTTTCACTATTTGGGTAGCCATGCATTGCTGATTATCACAAATTATTTATTTTCTGTGTATTTTTTAATAGGCACAGACTGTCTATTTTTTTCTAGAACTGCTTTTGATACCAGTCTCATCTCTTAACCAGTGCTCTTTATGCCTATTTTCTGTTTCTAGGTACATCATGACAAGTGAGCACACCAAACAGGCAACAGTGGACTACTTTGCTTCCCACAACTTCTTTGGGCTCAAGTCAGATGACATAATAGTGTTTGAGCAAGGGATGGTTCCCTGCTTCACATTTGATGGAAAAGTGATAATGGAGAGTCCATGGCACATTGCCAAATCTCCTGATGGAAATGGTGGCTTGTACCGTGCATTGAGAGAGCAGAAGATTTTGACTGATATGCATCGCAGGGGAGTTGCATGCCTCCATGTCTATTGTGTTGACAATCTTCTGGTCAAGGTGGCCGATCCTGTATTTCTGGGCTACTGCCTTAGTGAAGAAGCTGATTGTGGGGCCAAAGTTGTCCCAAAGGCCTATGCAAATGAGCCTGTAGGTGTTGTCTGCGATGTCGATGGGATCTTCCAAGTTAGTCCTCTGAGTTGTCAGCAGAAGCATTAATGGCTTAAGTATTTTTAAACTTATGGTCTATTTAATGCAGGTGGTGGAGTATTCTGAAGTATCGCCTGCAACAGCTGAAATGAAGGATGGTCAAGGGAATCTTCTCTTTAGTGCTGGAAACATCTGCAACCATTTCTTCAGCCTGGATTTCTTGCAGAATGTTGCCAATACTTGGGAAGATGGACTACAATTTCATGTTGCAAAGAAGAAGATCCCCACTTGGAATGCAGAGACCTCAGAAACTGTGACACCAACATCGCCTAATGGAATCAAGATGGAGAAATTTGTTTTTGATGTCTTCCAGTTTGCCAAGAGGTTTAGGGTCTGGGAGGTGAGTCAGCTATAATTCAAGAATGAATCAGTTTCATCTGTAAGCAGCAGAAAACTTCCTGTAGGGATTTCCCTTTTGCACTCCAGGGTTTGTTTCTGAAATTAAATTGATTTGGGATTAACATTAAAAATGTATTCATTGCAGGTTGAACGTGAATCAGAATTCAGTCCAGTGAAGAATGCAGATGGGCAGGCAATTAAGGATACTCCAAGTACAGCTCGTCGGATGTTGTACAGCCTTCATCAAAGTTACCTTATCAAGGCTGGTGCTACCATCCTCCCATCAGAGAGGTCTGTTCCCATGTTGTGAAGCAGTCATTTTATCTGTTGCACTTAGTTGGGGTATACTCTGTGGTGCTCCTGTTCCCTCATTCTAATGTAATGAAATGCTCATTGTGTTTAATCAGCTATGAAAAGTTAAGGTTATATTTTTAAATTACTGAAAATTCTGCATGTGAAGATAGTGCAGTAATGAGAATTTAGTCCCACATGGAGGAAGATGCAAAAAAAATCCTTATATAAAACTCTGCATACAACTTTGACTTTTTACATTAATTTTTCCTAGGTGTGATGTCAATTGTATATTCTTCAAGTCTACTACATCTAACCTCAGTGTTTAGCCTGGAATATGTTATCTGTAGTTTTCAAATGATCCTGAAAAACTTTTTTTTGCATTGACTGTCAAGTTACTCATCAGCTCTCAAATCATGAATATGCTACATGCCCCTGGTATGGAAAGCCTGGATGCCACATGTTTAACCTTGTCACTGTGACCTGGGGTTTGACTGTCTTGCTATGACCTGGGGTTCACTTTGACCACTATCACAGTGGTATGGGGTATGTCCACTTGGACCTGATTTTTCAGCATGTCACCATCATCTTTGAAACATACTAGCAAGAGCCATCACTGATAATTGCAACCCAGAGTAAAGTAATTTTTTGCACAACAAAAGGGCTCTGCAACAGCAGGGCTGGGGTCTGCCAAGATCCCAGATGATACTGATAAGATATAACCATTTTTTTTAATGTTCTTTGATTTTTCAGTCATGTGTGAATGCAAAGTCAAAGAATATTTTGAAAAAAATCAGATTTGTCTTCTACATTAAATTTTTTGCAACTCTCACCCCACAATATGTAATTATACTCTAAGGCTACAAAACTTAACCCTTCAAGCGCTGAGTTTTGACTTGACTTTCTAAGTGGTGAACGTACAGTGTACGTGAAAACAACTTGAAGTGTTAACATTCACTGTGTGTAGGTCCATTCAGCAGGTTTCATGGCAAATGCAGAGTATCCCTAGTCCTACAATGTACATGGTTGTAAATCTCTCATGGTCAACCCAGGATCCATTGGAAGAATAATCCACTATTGCATTCTACTATTATGTAGAAGCAAGCTTCCCCAAACAGGGATTGAGAATGATGAATATGGGCAAGTCACCAATTCTGCTCCAAGACACAGCACTGGTTTTAAAATGGGTCCACTTGAGATCTGTTCCTGCTTTACAGACTAGGCTTTAGCTGGAAAAAGGTACTGCTGATAATGGTGATCATAAAAGTATTGGTATCCAACCCTACTGGTATTGGAAATCCCTGTTGCTATCCAGTGGCAGGTCAGAATCTCATTGCTTCTCCAATTCTGACCTTTGATTCTTAAAACCATAGTGTTGGTTAACGTAATTGAAGAGGAGATTTATTTGCTGCTGGTCAAAGCATTCGTACAATTCCCAGAAGGACCTGCTTGTAAGCTGCATGATCCCTGTCTGATTTTTCATCTTTACCTCTATAGGTGTGATGGAGAAAAAACATCTGAAGATGAGTAAGCATTCCTTGCACTTTCACATTACTTAATCGATGTTGATCGTGCCATCTGTCAACCATTTGAATTGACTTTAAAAAAATAGGAATTCTGTATTAACAGACAAGTTAGGTGTTATAATAGTGAGGATTTTTCATTTAGGGGGTTGGTGTGTGAGATCTCGCCCCTCGTGAGCTATGCAGGAGAGAACTTGGAGAAGCTGGTTGGAGGCAGGACTCTCCATTCTCCAGTCACACTTTTTGCACCTGAAGAGAAAGCAAACCAAAATGGCACTGCTTGAGTCCCACTATATCTCTTTTCCATATTTCTATTTGACATTTATTTTCATGGGTGCAGCCTTTCTTCCCTCTCCCTTGATTGGTGCATGTCAGATGATTTTATTGAAATATTGCCACTGGGATGATAGTTTCTTCTGATTTTTTAATTATTAGTAGGAACTATGGTTAGCCTTATTTCATGTCTCTGGGTGACCTGATAGTTACCATTCATGTTACCATGCTATAATACCCATGATTCATATCATGCTCCCATTGTGACAGTCTATGGGCTGCTATCTCTTTTAGTTACCAAATGTCAGTGTTGACAATGATGATCTCTGATCTTTATGATTTATAGACTTCCCAAGATTTTCAAAGAAGTAATCTTTATGATGTTTCATGTCGTATTACAGCGACACGGGGAATAGGGGTATTCTATTCTCTAGGAGAATTATTTTACACATTTCCTGAGCATTGATACCTTATGGAAATCACATTTATAATGATACTCAGTCAGTATGGTGTTGTATGAGAGTGGGTGATGATTTGATTACATGATGATGCGTGATTGAGGATTGTGATTGATATTCTTTGCCAATGCAAAAGTTGTCTTTCAGCACATAGGATTAGCAGGTTTGAGAATTCTGTCAACATCCCTTGGGATGGTACCTGAGCCTTTGTGATCATCTTACAATGCAGTCCATTTATGCTGCCACCTGTTTTTATTTTATCACATGTCCTGTCTGTGTGCCCAATTTGGTGGTGGGTTTGAAATAAAGTCTATTTTCATCATACCTTATGAGTATGTTTATGGTCGGGATCTAATTCAAAAGGAATACATTTTGAATTGTTCATTATTGAACTAAATTCCTGGTGATGGTGATGGTTTTATTAGTAGAGAGTAGATTTTTACATAAATGCATATAGCATATAAGATGGAGATTTTTAGGAAGGTTTTTTCCAGTTTCCAAGGAAAGTTTGGGAATTTTAAACAGTAATCTCCCACTACTGAATAAATATTAGAAAGTGTATATTTTGTGTATTTTTACATTTTTAATGCATATTTTGGGATTTTACCCTTCACATTCATGTTCATATTTCAGCACTCATGAAAATCTGGTCCTTATTGGTTGTTGAATTCAACTTCTGTCCTACTCATGATACCTAACTTCTTAGATGACAAATAATGAGTGTGAAATGTCTACAGTAGTCATTCCGGTTAATCCAGTTATTCCAGTAAATCTTCACAAAATTTTCGGACCTTTTGATCCTTTTAACGATTCACGATCAAGTAATAAACTCAGCACACGTATCTCGCGCTTCTTGGAAAGTGACGGCGCGGATGCGGTCCACAAATCTCAATTTTTCCGAGTCACCACAAGCCATCTGGGAAATATAAAGATGATGTGCTTTACAATGTTATACATATGTGTAGCACTTTTGGTTTGGGCTGTGGAGGGGGGCTCTACCTATATGGGACACCCTGTATATCCTCTAGTTGCCGTGCTCGGATGCCAGTAGAAATTCCGCCGTGGCTGTAGACCCATGGTGAGGTGAGCTTTCTTGTCGTGCTTTGCATGACTTCAAGCTCATCATAAATGGTGGGGGGTTAACTATTGGGGCATTTTCCCTTGATATTGATGGATTGGCAAGACATTATTTTGTAGTTTAATTCATAAAACCTTTTAATTTTTATTAAATTTGCTTGAAGAGATCTTTTTTTTGTAGGTTATCTCTCAATTACTCCCAAGAACTTCAATTTAATTATATTTATCAATACCCTTATTAAATTATTTCATCAGATGTGTAGCATAAGTTTCTTATAAAGCTTAAATGGAAAACGTGAGTTAACGTTTCCAGCGTTTTTCTTTTGATTCCCTATCATTGGCGTAGGCAGGAAATCAGCGAGAGGGGGGTTGAAGCCAGGTGGACAGACACCCCAACCCTACCGTTAGCTCCCTTACCCAAAATTTACCTTTTCAAAGACATGGTCTTGCATCTTGGGTCTGTGGACAGACATCAGACTTTCCTCAGAGGGGGCATGGCTAAAATTGGAATTCCCAATGAATGTTGAAATATGCCTGTCAGTGTCACTGACTGGGAGGGGGTGAGGGGGGGTTCAATCCCGTAAACCCCCCCGCCCCTTCCCTACGCCACTGTTCCTTATGTTGGTGAATAAATGCATGTTATATTTCCGATGCGGTTCGATTAGGCTTCATTCCACCGATTTCCCTTGATATTCAAAGTAAAATGCCCCCAAACGAAAAACCAGTGAGGAATGCAAAGGATGATTTATACCATGTTTGTACATTAGGGGGATACACAATTTTAATCCGAGCGATATAATCTTAAATTGATATAAGGCAATAACAAGCGACATATTTCTCCTAAATGACGCCCCTCTCCATGGCTTCACCTACGACGCCGAGTAACCTTCCGCGAAGGACTTGATTATCCTTATCCCGGCACTCCCTCAACATGTCCGTAACCTGGGTCGGGTCGTCCGAGGTCCTCTCAATGGCCGTATCCACGTCATAGTTGAGCATGACAGGGAGGACCCCCGCGATCAGGTTGAATCCCGCCGCCCAAGCACCATCAAAGTCCTCCAGAAAATTCTCCCAGCCGTATTGGAACTCCTCCTCGATGTCCAGGCCGAGTTTCTTGCAGGCGGTTTGGAATCGGTTCCAGTAGAATCGAAGAAGCCCTTCCTGGTGTTCTTGCCGTAGTTCGTGGTTCGTGCTGCTGAGAAGGAAGTAGAGCAGGTCCAGACACGGGAGTCCGTATTCGATCAATTGGAAGTCCAACAGAACGGCTTCGTATGCGTTGCCATTACGTTTCAGAAGGATGTTGTTGCACCAGAAATCTCCGTGTCTGAGAAGTGCCAAGGGTTCCCTGGGGAGACTATGAAATACGAAGCGTTCGAGAGCGCCGTGTCGGAATTTTCGAAGACGCCTCACTTTCTCTTCTGCTTCCGGTCCATCTTTCTCCAGAATGCCGATCAAGTTCTCCACGGAATCCCCAAAGAAATCTGTGCCCAACTCCAACCCCACCTTCACCATCGTTCTCAGTAACACGGGATATTCTTTTTCGTAAGTCGTGCCTCGATTCTGCAGTTCTCGTTTGTGAGCCAGGCTCAAGGCATGGAAGTCGGCCATGGAAGTTAGGGCCCCTTCGCACTGCTCCAAACTCAATCCTTGCACTTTGTTGGCCATGGAATAACCGCGGGATCGAAGATCCTCGAGACCCAGCATGATCTTCTGATCGCCGTGATGAACTCCGAACAGGAACGGGGGGATGGACAGCTTCACTCCTGCCTCGTCCCCCAGCGCCCGAAACGCCTTGGAGATTCGGGAATAGAAGAGAAATTCCTTCTCGTGGGCCCGACTATGGACGGCCCACCCCCGAAACACCAGGTGGTGTGGTAGAGTCTTGATGAGGAAGTCGACGGACGTTCCGTCTCGGAGAACGGCGTGGACACTCGAGAGCTCACTGAGGAATCCATCTCCGGACTTCATGCCCTTGTTGACAGTAACTGCGCTGACGTGACTCCGCGATCTGAGGGCCTTCCTCGTCCAGCGACGGTCCACGTCCGTCGGCGTTTCGGGGACGATGAGCGCGGGTCCGAACTTTCCACTCCACACTCCTGCCAAACCCAAGAAAGTGAACATGGCTTTTCTCCCAGGATGCCGTGTGTCGTATGTAGCAGCGAGGGTCCTAGGTGACACTCTCCCGGGGGACTAGTAAATAAACAGATAAGGCCCGCACTCATCCCTGAGCACAGGCGAGTCCCATGTCTCTATTTTGTCATCATCTATTCTATGTCATGAAAGAAACGCAGGACATGCCAGTAGAATTTCGATTCACGGGACAATCAACGAAAACCAAAACTGTCGAATACCCGCATCATTCACTTGAAAGGTACTGTGTATGGAAAAAAAAGAAGAGAAGAAAGAGGCTCTTGTGCATGTGAAACCACATCTCCTAGCTGTGTTTACTATCTTCTCGTTCCGTCAATAAATAACTCCGGGGCAAATGAGAATAAAATATAGGTCATGACTCATTGACGTTCACTTAGTAAAGGCCAGGGGAGGAGGTACACAGGGACTACCCAGCAAACACAGATATCTTAGTGCAACGATGAAAATGTGTTAATTGAGTGTTTCAGTGGTCGAGTGTTCTTTCGTGACATAAAATGAACATCGGTATGACGTTAAAATGCCCTTTTTGGAAGAGCTCAATGCAACGTTGACCAAAGAGCGCTGAAGCAATGCCATGGAAATGTTTCACGTCCGACACTTCAACGTTCGTGCGCAAGTATTGGACGAGCGTTGAGGTTGCTTCAGCGTGGTTTTTTTTTTTCAATTGAGTGGGTTTCCAGCTAAATGTGGTATACTCGAGTAACACATGGAAAAATATTTATTAATCGGCCACAGCAACTCAAGTAATACATGAACGTTCTGGAAGACATTCAACCTGGAATCTGCTTCCAGAGGTTTTGGAACGTGCAATGTTCACGGATGAGCAGCCTATGGGCGCTCAGTTAAGGTGCCGTTTCATCTCAAATATCCTACTCTTCGTGACGCTTCTGAAAGACCTTAAAGAGAACCCTAAAGAGACGCTTACTTTATGCACAACTACGCTACTTGATAGGGACAGCGAACCTGCAATCTGATAGTGGCTCAAACAAAGATTCGTACGACCGAAGCGAGATGACGCCGAAGTAGCCGCTATAGCGAGTCGATACCTAATACAGCTGGGGCCTTTTTCACGAAACTTCTTTAACTTTTCTTTATCTTTATTTCAGCTATATTTCGTCTTTAACTTTTCTTTAACTTTACTTTAACTTTATTTCGTCTTTAACTTTTCTTTAACTTTTCTTTAACTTTTCTTTAACTTTACTTTAACTTTATTTCGGCTATATTTCGACTTTATCTCGACTCAAAATAAAGAAAAAATAAAGACACCTTTGGAGGTCTCTCAATCTCGACTTTAACCTCTCTGAGGGCTACGGAAACCATGCCCACCTGTGTGTATTCTTGATAACATCCCCCAAGCGATGAATGTGCATTCCTCCTGCCACTTGTGGCTTACTCCTCTTCGTGTTAACACGACCATGGCTGCAAGGCTTCATCTAATTCGGAGGCAGCTTCGTCGGGAAAGAGTAAGATAACGCTAAGACCTGATGTTCGGAATAACACCGATTGGTTTTCGGCATGGTAGGGTAATTCCGAACGAATTTGACATTTTATTTTATTACATTACATCGACTACGGTTTGATTCTGTCTCGGTTGCTCATACCGTGACTTATGGACAAACTGAAACAGTACAAACAAGACCGCGGAGTCGATTTCTCCGAACACAATTTGAAGAGTCCCTTGGGTATTCGCCTCTACCCCATTCTCCCCTATCGAAGATTGGAAGAGGAGCTCAGCCTGGCATCCCTCTGACACTGTGTTCGTATAGCAGACTTCCTTTCCTCTCCCGTGGATATTCTACAAGTAACGCGTTCCGTGAAGGTGTTACCAGCATCGATAAAGGGAACACTTACAGCACTTTCCAAAATACAACGAAATTCGGTAAAACTTTTAGCGAAAATAGATGCTATCGTTACATCTATAGACTGTAATTTGTGCGTTGGGGAGGGAGGCGGGGTTGGATCTTGTCCTTAGCAATAAATCTAAATGCTGTAGCAGTAATATTTCAATAGCAAATTTTTCCCGGAATACAGCTTGGAAAGAGAGAATGACCAAACAGTTTTCGTTTGATGTTGCTAATATTCTGAATTAGAAGGGA